AGAGGCAGCCATATACAGACACTGGAACTGTTTATCTCTGTAGAGTGTGCATTATCTATGCTGTTCAGCTTTTTGCCTTAAATCTTTTGTGCCTCCTTTTTCTGAACTTGACTTGCTTCCTTGAGTCTTGTTGTTTAGTAGCCTTTTTATCCAGATACTAAATTCAGAGCAGGTGACCTTTCCCTGCAACCATTTTCTCTTCCAGTCTGAGGTTTCCTGAGTTCACTCTTTTTTATTTTTTTCCTAACAAATCTCTTTTTTGGCAAGTCCTGAACCAACTTTTGCAAGTCACTGGCCTAGGTTATTTGTGAGTGCTCAGCAAATACATCCTAAGGTCAAAGTGTGGTTTCAGATCAAAGAAACCTGGTAGCACAGTAACAGTAATCCCTGAAGGTGAGCTGAATCATCTGTTACTGCATGAGCTTTCCATAGTCTTTTCTCACTGCAGTTCTTTCTTTCAGTCTAAACGTTTTTACAAGGGTCTGATTAAATATTATTCTTTCTGTGTATTCTAACTCCTTCCCCTCTTTTCTGCAAAGGGAAGGGAGAGGTAAGAAAGTATATGTGACCTAGCAAGGTGGAAGTTTCTTTTGAAGCTGTTTATAGGTAAATGTTGTGGTATGTGAAAATATTCTCCTGAAAATTCCTAAAAATTTGTTTATTGGTGTCTCTTGAAAACTTGGGAACCCTAAGGCAAAAGCATAAAAGTTTTTAGTCTGTAGGGTTCCTGGATTTGCCCTGTGGATTTGACAGTACACACCACAACTAGAAGAGTTGTGTGGGTAATGATGCATCACATAGAAAAGACAGTAAAATAAGAACTTGTAGTTCTCTGCCAGGAATTAGCAATAAAATGAAATTTGCATCCAAGTTTCTGTGAGCAAAATGATACTGCTTTTTTTCCAATAGGTGAATCTACAGAGGCATTGTGGTTGTTCACATCCACACATCTTCATATATGGCAGCTTTATCATTGAAATATCAGCAGCTCAGAAACAAATATCAAAGTAAATACTTTTTCCTTCATTTTAGTTCAGTGAATTGTTAACAGCTGTTGCTTCCACTACAATTCTGTAACAGAAGAAGAAACTTCACGGTCTGAAGTCCAGCTCCTACGTCCAGCTCCTCTTTCCTTTATCAGAGGCTTATGACAGTGGCTTGTCCATATGTGGAGGTCCTTGAATTTCCTCCTGCTGAGCTCACAGAGCTACAGGGAGCCTGGGCTTGTATAGGTCTGTACCTTATATCAGCTTTACACGGCTGCTAAGTGACTGTGAAGCTCATCTCTACCTGCAGACCTTTGGACAAACATGCTGTGGCAGTCAATGCCCTTCACTTTTGAGGCTCCCATTGTCTGTGTTACGTGGTGTTGGGGAAGAGTGCAGTGTTTCCCAGGGGGAGCTCATGGCAATGTGGAGCAACCCGTTTGCCTTCTTTTGCCAACCCCCTGATGCGTTCAGTGCAATGGAATCCATTGCTCAAGGGTTTCTTGGAGTACAGGACCATCACTCTCAGCCAGTATGTGCATTTACCCACCTTTCTCACGTCCCATGGTAGTGGCTCTGTGATTGGGAGGTTTGATGTTCCAGAAAAATTGTCAAAATCATGTGCCATTGTGAGATCACACACACATAGAGTCATGAGCTGTGAAAGCATGTACTTCCCTGAGCCACAGGGCTTGGCAGCCCTATGTCTCTCTCTGTTATAAATATGTGAAGCTGTGGCTGGCCCTTCCTTTATATCAAATGCAGGTGGAATTGGTTGGAAGGTTCTAAAGCTGTTAAGAAGGCATTCAGTAAGACTATGTGAGACTAACCATTCAGCACTGTTTTCTTGGAAAGCTAGATGTTGTATAATTAGTCCCTTTTATTTGTTTTGCTTCTGATGCCTTCAAGTGTGTTTGGGTAATTTTTCCTCATTACCACATGGGATAAAAATTACATTCCTGTAAAGCAATAAAGACAAAACCAAAAAAACTGTTCTTGCTTCCAGAAGCTGAAGATGTAAGAAAACACCAAACACTTAAGCCTGTAGTAAAACACTGAGTTAGCAATGCTGCTGCTGTTCTCTTGTACCGGGATATATAATACATGCTCCCGCAGAAAGCAACAGTGCTTAGCTTCCAGGGAGCACCCAGACTTCTCGAGGAAACCCAGAAACCACAGCAAAGAGGCAGATTGAAAGGATCCCCTAATGAGTAAATACATCCAGGGCTTTTAGTTCCCCATCTGCTGTTTTGACAAATGCGTGTGAGCTGTTTTGCCAGCAGATATCACTATGTGTGTCCAAATTACGAGTGAGAATGAGAGAGAAAAAGCATTTCTCTGCTCATAAGAGACAGGCAGATTTAGGAAGGTCTGATGGAGTTTATGTGCATTATTAGGCACATTTTTAATTCTTTTGTCAACCCCTATTATGAGGTCATTTCACTTCAATGCAAATTAAACCAAAATTTTTCACCTTCATATGTTCTTTTTTTTCCATAATATATATTTTTTAATGTGTTGTTCAATCACAGCCCTCTAGAACAGCCTAAAAGCCCTTTAACTCTCTGAATTGAACTACTGTGGCCTTTCTTGTCAAAAAGAGCTCCTGGATTTATTTCGGTGTACATTGACACTATAAAATGTTACTTTCTTTTCTCTCTTCTGCAGGCAAAGAGCTATAAAAATCAAGTTTCATTGTCATTTCAACCTTTGTTCTAAAACATTATGATGTGTAGAAAATTGATTATACTGGAATTTAGTATATACAACAAAAGGAAACTTTGTTGAAATCCAGAGGGCCATTTCTGTTCATTTGATAAATGTATTAGTTTCTTTGGTTTCCTGAATTACCAGGTAAAGGGCAACATTTTCCAGATCTAACTAATTTCACTGAAACATATGAAAGACAAATACCAGAAGTCAAATCTAACATATTCTTCCCATGGGCCTTAAAAAAAACCCACCCCAAACTCTTTATTTTGAAAAGCTAAAGTAAGAGTTCAAAATTAAATGGATGATTCATGCGAGATATGTGAACTGAACAACACATTGAGCTGTTGCACCAGCTGATATGGCCTGGGTTTTCTCAGCACTGCTAAAGAAAAGAAACAAGAGGTGAAAAAAATTGATTGCTGTGCTACTCCATCTACTCAAGTGTCGCCGTATCTCAGGGTCACAGCAAAGCAGACCCTCTGTGAGGAGCTCTGTGCTCGGGGGGGAGCTTTCAGCTCCATGGGTGCAGGGCCAAATTTTGCTCCTTTTTTCTCCCCCAGGCACGGAGGAGCTGAGTGCTGGAGTCTCTGTAGGCAGAGGGTGCTGCTCAGGGGGAGTGGCCCTGCGGAGCCTTTGCTCACACTGGCAGCCCCTCTGCTTCCACAGCCACAGCTCGGAGCTGTGGGTTACTCCTTCATGAACCTATTCCCTCCTGCTGGCATCCCATCCCATCCCATCCCATCCCATCCCATCCCATCCCATCCCATCCCATCCCATCCTTGGATGTGTGTACCACTGCTTTAGAGACTCCTGATCTCACAGTCACGAGCAAAGGGTTCTACTGGGTTTGGTCATGGATCTTGCCAGTCTGAGGGATGCAGCAGCTTCTGCAGTCGAGCAGCAGGAGGAAAAAGCAGTTCAAACTGATAAAAGTAATAGTTATCAATTCACTGGCAAAATCACAATATGTTATATTTCTTACTGAAGGTACTGAAAGAAAAAAATCATGGTTTTGTGGTAAAAGTTATAATATATGCTCCTGCCTTTTTTTTTCTTTTTGAGTAACAATAACTTTAAGCAAAGGGAAATGTTCCCTACTGGATAAACAAGAATCCTTAATTTAATCTACTATCTGAGAGATGTTATGGTCCCCAGCAAATATTAACCTCTGTCTCTTGATGGAAAAAGACCCCCTTTGCCCATGTGAGTCACATATATTTCAGTCTAGACGAAATAGCTCCTAGGAGTTGTAGGGAGAAACAATGATGTCTGAGTGCCTCCTGGAGAACATTCAAACCTTGAGCATATTTTGGTTTGTATTGGAGTTGAACTTGATGTGATAGGTCTGGAAAAATATAGAGCTGACAGTCTATATACACAACCAGGTTTTTAGTCCACATGGATAATGAGACCTAAGCACCCAGCCGCTTTTTTTTTGTGCCACTGTCAATTTAAAGTGCATTTTTAAATGAACAGTGGGGTTATTTGGGTCTATTAATTACAGTAATTGTTTCCTGCGTGGAAACCACATGTATGAGATGTGAAAGGCGCGTGTGTGTGAGAAGGAACGCTGGCGTGTGTGAGACTGGAGCAATTCCCCTTTGAAGATTTTTTTTAATCCCTAGAGAGGGAGCTTGTAATGAGCAACAACATTTATGCTGAGGACTTCAATGCTCCTTGTTGCCCCATACGTTGCCTTGCCTTTCACATGGAGATGAAAGTCAGTGGTTGAAGCTGCTCCTCCTTTTCCCATGTGGCTGATATAAATTCTACATCAAATGGAAAGGAGGAAGGGCAGGTTTGGTTGTCAGCAAAATATGAAGGAGAGGTCTGAGAGCGGCAGGAGCAGGGGCTCAGGTCTCATTAATCTGGAGGGCAGCAGAGGAGTAAACATAAAACCTTGGGAAGATGCCCACTGTGCCCTTTAAACAAAGAGCCTGTGATTGGCATAATAAGGAGTGCTGATGGGTAAATGGGAAAATGCTTTTCCTAAGGTTTACTTGTTAATGGATATGATGAGAAACTCATGCAGATTTTTATAGTTTGTATAAAACTTGAATGCATTGATTTGTGCATCAAGAAAGTACAATAATGGTCCTGTAGTTTAATTTCTAACCCGTGTTCTATTACAAGTCTCTCTATTTTGACTTTCACAAGGAAGTTGTCTTTCTGCCAGGTTATGGTATTTTTTCTAGTGCAGAACAATGCTAGAGGAAAAATGTTTGGGAAAAAATTGGCATTACTCTCATATTCTTGAAATGCAGAATGTTATTTCCCCTTTTATGTCTCCTTTTGCTGCAGTGGCACATCTCAAATGTGACTCAGCCCATGTGTGTCCCTACAATTTGTCCTATGGAGCAGCTTAGTTTGGAGAGAAGAGGGAAGGGATGAAAAAAATTCAGCAACACATCCTGACAGAAGGCAGCCAGGGAGTGCGGCTTTATTGGGGAAGAGCTATGCTGGGAAGAGAGAGAGTAGATCTCCTGAGACATCTAAGAGCAGGTAGGTTGTATGTTGGAGTCATGGCATAGGCATAAATCCCTCCTCAAAGGCAGTAGAGTTCACAGTTTATATTGTCATGCTCTCAGCTTGATTTGAGCAGCATTTGCTTATTCTTTTATTTTTTTTTTCTTTTTTTTCTTTTTTTTGTGCTCCTGTACTGAGGTCCTGTTCTCTGCTCATCAGCACAGAAGATGAGAGGCAGACACTCTGTTCTGATGTGCCCAGAAATATAAGAGCAAGAGGAGTAGAGTCAGCACAAGGTTTTTTATCCAACTCTTAGTTCGGGAAGGTCCCCATGCATGAACATGGAAAAACTTACTCCTGACACAACTGGGACAATAAACAGTCAGAAATCAAAATTCTAGCTACACTAATCAATCCTGTTTCCCCTTTTTTTCTTTCACTTTCTTTCCTGGGGAAATATTTATATTTGTTTATATGGGACTTTTTACCTCTTCTCGTCCCACCTGAAGATACATGCAAAGACATCAAGGTTACGACACAAGGCTATGAAACAAAACTCTGTTAGTTCAGCTAGAAACTCGAACCACAGAAGATTATTACAAAGGTTTTAGGCAGGGATAGTCTTTGGTACTTTTTGAGCAGAGCTGAATGTCAGAAAAGTTTTATGTCAGCAGTGAGATCCAGCTAAGAGGAAACCACATTTTTCCCTCTCAAAAACCCTGTTGCTACCTCATACTGTTTACTGTCTTAGTGAAATTATTTCAGGATTTTTCCAGAGTTTAACAAGAAGGTTGGTGATATTTCAGGCTCTGCTGATTTTTATGAGTAATAGGTGGTTTCTTTGAAGCCACTGCTTTAGTACCAGGAAACATCCAGCTAGGCCAAATGAAGAAATAGCTGGGATTAATTCCTGGCCCAGTGACTCTCATCTCCTTTTGCAGGAGGTGAATTTTGCAGTTTTATCCAGTGTTCATGCAGAGAGGTAAATGGAAAACTTTAATCTTGGCTCCATTGTCTGTACACCAATTGATGGGACAGGATTCTCATGGCAGTTTTTGGTGGCAAAGCCAGAACAGAATGAAATTTGCTCTTACCTGGGCTTATTCACCAGAACAAGGAGACTCAGCTGGCTTTTGTGATGTGAGCATTCCACGAGGGAAATAACTCTGGCAGATGCTCTCATACTAGTGCACTGATACACAAGAGGATAAAGTTCTTGTGAGCTCATTAAGTTCTAAGTATCAGAAAAGGAAATGAAGAAAAAAATGAATCTGTCAAGGAATCTGTGTTTGATTCTAGCAGGTGTTTTGAGTAAAAGTGAAAAATAAAATACGTTCTTCCTGAAACTTTCACCTATTTTAAAACACTATTTTGAAGTATTTTTGAATATATTTTGTATATTTTGAAGTATTTTATGATGACAAAGTAATCTATGCAAATATGAATGTAGTAAAATTTAATTAAGATTAAATAGAACAATTAATTGTTTTAAATGCGTATTTTAAAATAGTGTCTTCAATCAAATAAATAAATATAATAGTCCTTATCAGTGAACTCCATCAGCCTAATGGCTTGCTATATTTTTATTTGCTTTATTAATGAAGAAAAAAGCAAACTTCGGCATGAGTTATTTTATGTTTAGGTTTGATTAAAGATTCTTGCAGCATCAGGGGATATTAACAAGCAATTATATTTTGAGCTGACAATGGATTGATTATTCTTTCCTGAGAGAACAGTGATGCACAGACAAACTGCATAGAAATAACACGTCAGCAATGTCATACTACTGTACAGATTTCAAAGATAAATTTCCATCTGGCAAGCAGACATTCAGGAAGGAACTTCTGTTAATGTGGCTTTCACACAAAGTTCATCGGGGATAAAACCCGGCTTGAAGATTAATTTCTACTTCTCTTCTCACACTTGGCAAATGTTAATTTACTGTAGACATTTCTTAAAGAGATTGAGTAGGAATAAGAAAAAGATAAGGAAAAAGCTGTGTTTCTTCTCTTGTTCCACTGGAAGTTTTGGACTAATCAAGATGGTCCTCCTAACAACCAAGAGCCAAACAGAAAAACAAATAGAATTTTTTTTAAATGACAACTATAAACTGAGAACAAAAATGCTCTGTAAATATTAATATGTCACTGAGAACTTCAATGTGATGAACAAACAACAGTTAGTTTAACTTTCTTGAGGAAATATAAATAATAAAAACCTCATTCACAAATTAGAAGGCAGGAAGAGACCCCGAGCATATTGCAATGATATCCCTGCTGACTTCAGTGGTCGTTGCAGAAGGTCTCCTCTCATCTGAGGGAGGTCAGTGCTGCTGACTGCCACAGGATGCAGATGAGAGCCAGGTTCTTTTCTGCCTTTCACCCCAACGCTACCCCAGCATCACACCAGGTAAGATAATGGAATAAAACACAGGTGTTCACTAGACAGCGCACTGAGTTTGTTTCCCTGAGGTACGTACCACTGATAAACATGAAGAATTAAACTCTCTTACAATAGTACTGCTTGACCCGAGATGTTCAAGGACTATTTGCAAAACAGGTACTGCATATTTTGGGAAGGAAGAAAAATCAGACAAAAGACATGTGATACTTTGCATATGAACACATAAGTGTTCATGCAAAATATTTTGACGTTATTAGCATATGTGTTTTAAAGGAAAGAAGATTTCCTTTAAGTGTTTGATTGTCATTGTTTTTTTAATAACACTTCAGCTTCAGAGTTTTTAAGGAACAGATTTGACTGACACATGCTTAGTCAAAAGGAAATATGCAGCTGATTCATAAGCACCAGTGGACTTTGTCTTTAAAGAGCAGTTGTACAATACTCATCCAGCACGTTCCATGCTACTTACGAGCTCTCTTGAGATAAATAGTTTAAAACAATATGGACTGTTGTCTTTGTCACTAATAGGAGTTACCCAAATCTGTCTAAGAAAGAGTGTGCTTTTTGGATATTTTTGTATTTACATTGCATATCACCTTTCCAATGACCACTGTTCCCTATTTTACAGAAAGCTGATTTATGTGCCAGTTGACTCTCTGTGGTTCCCTGAAATGAAGGCTTGTTTTAAAAGTGAGCTATATTGTAACTCAACCTGGTAAGTGTGGGAGACAGCTGTCTGCAGCTCATATTTTGAAATATTGTTTTAATAATTGTTTCTTTCCTTTTCTTAAATCAGTGGTAGAATATTGCCATTATGGGATTTTAGGTAGAAACACCCATTTCTTATAAAAGAAACAGACTTGCAGAGCATGAGGCTTGGAGATGGGGCACCTGTTAGCTATTTTCTCAGTCAGTCACAAACTGGGATCTGGATTCAGACAATTCCTCAGACACTGGGAAGAATGGAAAAAAGAAGTTAGCTGGTAACAGTCAAGCTAGAAAACTGTCTCTGGCTGAGCAATGAACATTAAAATGGAGGAGAGGAGGAACAAACGGGGCTGATTTTCCCTGTGACAAACAGGGTGAGGCTGGCATAGATGGAGAAGCTAGGCTGGGCAAGTAGGCTAGAAAATCAGCTACAAGTCAATGAAGAGGGTGAACAGGTTGGATGCTGAAGTCAAAAGTCATTGGTTTCTGTGCTGGAAGTACTCACTGAGTATAAAAATTTGCCAGCCTACTTGGCAATCTGAGTATCTGAGTAACTAGCCTAATATTAGCTAGCCAGGTTTCAATATTTTGACCTAAACCCCATTCGTTTTTGTAGTCACCTACAGAATTACTGCAGAGCATAGAGCTCTGAACTTAACAAATTCTGGGTAAATAAGGCCTTGATTCATCAGTATTTGCCAGATTAAATAATTTCTTAGTACACATCCTTTAGACCCCAAGATTTCTTATGGTCCTGCATAATAAACTGTTTGTGCAATTAGCAATAAATTTGTCAAAGTAAGTCACTCTTTAAAGCTGGGAACAAGTATAACATTTATCTGTGTGTTAGAGTTTGCAGTTAAAAATAGCCATCCTGTTTTCATATGGCCAGGGCACTTTCAGGCTTGTTTTCTCCAGCTCTGTTGATACAGAGAAGGTAACAGAATCAGCCTGAGTATGTGATAGAGAATGGTATTCTTTGTACAGAAACGAAGCTTATTTGCTGAAGGAAAATCTGCCAATCCTGAATTCACTGCATCGCCACCTATTTGAGCATTATGTTTTGGGCTTTAATGAATGTTTACCACTACCTGCTTTAATTGCAATAGGCCTTATCTGAAATGTGCAGTCTGGTGGTATGAATGTTAATACACTAAATAAATGTGCAAGGTTAAGACACCATGCAAAGCCCAACAGTGCCCAGTGCCCAGCATGGAGCTGTAGCTCTCAGGGGTTCACACACAGCAAAAGGCTTTCTTCACTCCAGGCACTGTGGTCCTGCACGGGCCCCTGAGGTGCCAGGCTGATGTCTCTGCATGCGCCCAGCTCCACAGTGAAGTTCCTGAGGCTGCTGACTAAATGTACTAAAATGGCATTTAGACTACGTAATGTGGCATTTACTTTCACTGCCTCTACCAGAACTGGTGGTTATTTATTTGGAAATCTCAGACATGAGGTGTTATTTGATTTAGGGAGAAGTTTGTGTAATTTAGATATCCTTAGGCTCCCTAGAAGACACCTTAATTAATACAATTTCCTTGATTAGCTGATTCCTAATTAAATTTAGTGTGGTGTATATATTTATTTAATTTGCAGCATATTTTTATTTTCTTCGGTTTAATTTTGTAATACATTTTTTAAGCCACTTATCCCTTAGCTTTACAAAATCAAAACTGATGCAATATACAAGAAAGAGTTAAACTCACTAGAAGCTTCAACCTGTAAGAGGTCTTTTTTATATCAGTGGGAGAAGAAAAATCTGAGCCCCTACAAAAATCATATCTGACCTATGCGTGGAGGGTAGTGCTGGGCAAAGTAGAAGTCTGAGAAGGAAAAGGGGGAGACTTAGGGCAAGAAGGATTCCAAAGAAAAGATTTAATTATATTGGAATTAACTCTAAACCATTCAACTGGACTGAAACAAAATTAATTATAAAGTATTTGTTTTGATGAAGCTGAGCCAGGAAAAGCACAATGCTGCCAAATAATATTTAATAATTGTATTCAAAAATTAGAAAAAGAACCCTTTGGGACTCTTAGGAGATCATTGAAACCAACTGCTCTTTTGATGAAGTATGTGTCTTTCTCAGATTAAATTACAGGGGCAGTCTCATGTTCTCATGAGATTCTGTAAACCTATATTGCATTATTTTAGTAAAAGCAAAGTAAAGAGAATTAATTGGTGATCATAGACTTTCTAAGGAAGGGCAGAGCAGAATTTTAACGAGCACTTACTCAGCTGTCTGTTTTACTGCTTCCCCCCAACCTGAGCCTCTTGTTTTCTATGGCACTGGGAGAAAGTACTTTTCTTGAACAATTTCACATTTCCTGGCCCTGCTCATGTCTTGCAAGTGATGACGTGTCTTAGAAAATAGGGCAACAGAGAAAGAGTGATGGCTCTTGAGTGAGTTGGGAGAAAACACAAGGAAATCTTAACAAAGAGAGAAAGTAATGTGTTTACCTTTTTCTTTGGCTTCAGCCATGTCTAGACACAGCTTTACGTGCTTAATGGTAACCGCAGGAACTAGGAGAGAGTCACCTCACTCATTAGTGCCTCCTTGAGACATTGGCTTCAAGCAGGCAGTAGGCAGTGCCACTAAAACTTCTAGTATCAGGTCTAGCAGGACCTGGCAGTGTGATTTTGGCTTCTTGAAAACAAAAGTCTTGAGTGCCATGGATGTGTGCTTCAAAATGAATGCAGCTCTGGTACAGGCTGTTCACAAGCAATGAAGCTCTCCCTTGAAACTCGAATATGGATGCATACTCACTGCTAACTAACTTCAGGCAATGCCTCAATGTTTGTGTTGGTTTGACGGATAAGGCTTTCTGAGATGTTTTGTGTGGAGAACTCAAATGTAGTCACAAATGAGAGAAATGTTAATTGGATCAGACAGCTCTGTGTTAGATCTTAGGTGCCCCACAGCTGTAAGCCTTTTTTCTTTTCAACAGTGTTTTAGTCAAGAAGTGGAATTAATGTTTGGTTTGTCTTAACATTTCTGATATTTTTCTTCTTAACATGGCTCCTTTCTTGCCCATTTTGAGACTCCCACTGGGAGATAATTGAAGTTCCTCCTGGGAGAGTTTCTGCAGAAAAACTATGGGTCTTTTCAGGCTCTTTTTCTGTTTTGCCTCACTTAATATTGATGGAAATATAGCTGGATGCATTGGTCAATTTTTACTAAGGCTATAGGTGACAAAAGCAGGTAGGATGGCTGATGTGCAGTGTTTTCTAATAAAACACAGCTAAGGCTCTTGGATTTTTAGGCATTAGATTTATAATTTTTCTACTGTGTTAGGCAGATTTTCATGTCTTAAGTTTCATGAAAACATTTTTTGACAACATACCCTGTGAAGCTGTGTGTGAAACAGCTTGGAGGATGGAAGGATTAACTTGACACTTTGGGATGTGGGCCTCTTAATGCTCTCCTAACGACTGTCATAGGACTTCTCCCCGCAGGTATGCTTCTCCCAGGATGTTCCTTCAGTCGGGAAATTTGTACTGTCACTTCCAGCATTTAGTGAAAGGAAAGCCAGTGCTGACTGTCCTGACTTTGCCTCTACACAAATCTTCTAAATCTTCGTCCAAAGTTCAAATCAGGAGCTCTCCCTAAATTAAGAGGGATGTGGCAGTCTCTGAAGAGTTTGCAGCTCTCTGCTCAACAACGTAGGATTATTGAATTGTTTAGGTTGAAAAAGACCTCTAAGATCAACACAGCACTGCGAAGTCCACCACTAACCATGTCTCTAAGTGCCGTATCTCCATGTCTTTTAAATCCCTCCAGGGATGGTGACTCCCCCACTTCCCTGGGCAGCCTGTTCCAATGCTTGACAACCCTTTTGGTGAAGACATTTTTCCCTAATATACAATCTAAACCTCCCCCAGTGAACTTCATGGTCTTGGAAACCTCATGAAAATAATGCTGCACCAAGGGGAAGGAGTGGAAATAAAAATTCATGGCCAGGTTGATAATTCCAAATAATTGAGTGGCATTTTGTGTATGAGTACTTAGTGATCATCCATGGCCCTGCTCCTGCTGAACAGTTTAACACCATCTGGACCAGGCTCTGGATTTACCGGAGACCTACAACAGGCGCTCTCCCTTAATCTCGTATGATTTCTTTCTTTTTCTTCCCCCACAAATGTAATGGTGTGTATCAGAAATAAATAACAGCAAAACTTGTCTGGAAGCTGAGGGATAAAATGGAGAACCATGAGAAAACATGTGGGTATCTCTTGATGGAAGTCCTTGCTTCCCAGAAGAGCAACAGTGACTCCCTCCAGGTAGGGAACCTGTGTGGCTTTCTGCCATACAACAGGCAGGGCAAAGAGGACATTTCAAGGGCATTTAAAAAAGCTGTAACTGCTTAGAAAGCCTGGTAATTCTTGCACATCTCAAACTATTATAGCAGGCTTGGATAGAGAGAAGATGCCAAATGGCTTTCTCCAGGGAGTGGGGATTCTGCTGTGCTCCTTGGGTAGTGCTCCGCCATGGGTGACTGTCAATGGGTGGAAGTAAATCTGTTCCTGTGGCCATTGTAATGTCCATAAAGGGGTTATAGAAAGAAAGTAACACCGTGGCACTGTGGTCTTGCTTTTGAACACACTCTCAAAGATATAATTAAAACCACCAAGCTTATTTCAGGCAAAGTTCGTAAGTGATGGGTCTGGCATCATGCCGATTGCAGGAAGGCTAATTACACCATAAATTAAACTTTTTTTTTCCTAACCAAACATTATGACCTTTAATAAAATTGTTTTTACAACCAGCTGTCAATAAATCATCCAGGAAAGCTAGTGAGAAATGTTCTGTGAACACTCCACTTCTGTGAATTTCATTAGCTGCAGTTTATTTGATTTTTTGTGAGCTATGATGGTTTTTAAATCTCAAATTAAAAGCCCCGAACCATAAAAACTAATTCAAGAACATTAGCATCTTGGTTTCTGAAAATGAGCCTCTCTAATTGCAGAAATTAGTCAAGATTGTATAACGATCAGGAGGTCATTAAAAAAAGAATAGTGGGTAGACTGTGTTTGACCCAGCTAGAGCAGCTCCAGAGAAGTTTTTTTTTGAATACACCCTTAATGGAAGAAAACTGTCTCCTGCTAGATAGATTTGAGAGCACTGTGAAAGCCTTTTAACCCAGAGGTTTGATTTCTGAGACATCACTTTCCTGGCCTTGTTTATTCTCTTAGGCGCATCAGGACTTGAGCTTGGACACGTGCAAGAAGTTTTACTGCGTGTTGTACCCTTGTGTCTGCAGCAGTGAAGTATGAGGTAGTGTCAATAGGCTTTACTTCAGGACCTCTTTTTGTTTTGCATTCTTAAGGCTCCTGTACTACTTCATGGTAATTACAAATATTTGTAAGAAATATACTATACTGCTTGATTTGTGACTTTAAGGTGGACATATTTTAAAGCAAGGCATTTTTATTAGATTGGTACCAGAAAATGAAGCTGTTAACATTCTACTCCTCTGCCTCATAAAGCTCTTCTAAGTAGAGAAGCGGGGTTATTTTGTGTTGTAGAAACATCTAGAAAGCCTTTAGGTTTGAATCTGATAAGAAAAGATGGCAATCCTCTTTTTTGGAACTGCAGATTTCCTCACATTTCTGTTTTCCTGTCTCTATATTTTGGCATGATAATTTCAAGCCATTCTTAACTCTCCCTGTTCATCTGACTTTCCATAGCTCATTTATGTGGAATATGTGTTATAAAAATGAGATACACCTTGCTTAAGTCCATGTGGCTTCCATGAGTCCCTGTTCAAGCAGTTTCTAACATCTCACACAGATATCTCTATTCCTGCCTAGTGGTGTGTATTCTAAAGGTTCCCCTGGAGCTCATCTGTAAAGTGTGCCAAATCCCTCATCATATTTTGTTTTAGGGACCCCAAAATGAATATTTAATTTAAAGGAGAAGATGATACTTTCTAGCACCTACTTTTTATTAGTAAATTTTAAATATTACCTATTTGCCTGTACTGTCCCAAATCCTTTCAGACATTTTTATCTTTTTCCTGTCTATTGTCACAAGCATTTGTGCATTTTCTGAACCAAAGGTCTTTTGTCATGTTTATACCAAAAAAATATGAGAAAATAATGTAAAAATATTTTGAGTCTTTATTTCTCATTGCAGGTTCCCTGGGAAACTTTTAGGGAAGTTTTGAGATATCCACACTCATTTCATGAGATCTCCTGAGTCTCAGTCTGAGACACCAATTTCCCTGCTGCAGATTTTCCTCTGGCTCTCACAAATAGGTCCATTCACTTATTTCTTGCCATATGTGCATGTACACTGCCAAAACCAGCCTGTCAAACACAAATGCTGTAATGTTGTCATTGTTCCCCAGCTTCCAGCCCCACATGCACCAGTGGGCCCAAGTTTATCTATGGAATAGGGATGGAAGTGACAGTTTTTATTTCGTGATTTGGTGTTACAGTAGGGGCTCCCTTAGTCTGCTAATACATTGTAGCCTTGTTGTTTTTGAAGCAAACAACTTTCTGCTTATTCCTCATATTAGATTTTTAGTGAGATTGCTATTATGGCTTTTCTGATGATTTACATTTTAAGAATTTCAGTTTAAATGGGGGTGGAACGGGGGTTTTCTGCAGGTATTTATGACATTTTCCCATGCCCATATGACGTGGAACCATCACTTAAATGCCTTGGCAAAACAGTTTGAACCTGTCCCACCCCAATTAAACACTGAAACAGAAACTCTAAACTTTTCCTGTGAGTAAAATAAATCAATTATAAATTAGCAAGATGTAGGCTACTGATGAAGGCAAGAGAAATCAGAATGTATAAATATGAGTTACTTGAACTCCATGAAACACATACACACACACACCCACACACACACACACACACACACGTGTCTGCATGTGCACACACACATAATGGTAAACTTGATCTGACACACACACACACACACACACACACATACACGTGTCTGCATGTGCACACGCACATAATGGTAAACTTGATCTGGACTTTTTCCTTCTGGCTTCATTAATCAACTGGCCAGTTAATCTGAAATATTTCACGTCAGCTTCACAGATCTGTTTTATGTATATACATTTTTCAGCTTTTATTTTGTTTGATGTTTTTTAATATTACTTGGCTTGGCCTTCCATTATTCTTGAACATTTAAAGTTGAAAAAAAAGAAAATTACAGACCCCCATGGACTGATGCAACACAAGAAGGCAGATGTTTTACACTATTCTCAGGTCACACACTGTTTGTAAATTAAATGTAATGAGTCCAATAAAATGTTTTATAAAAATTACCAATTTCATATAGTGGTAGGCATCTAATTCAGCAACTATGTTTATTGTATGTGAAAGTCATAGGCACTTCAGATGAACAGCCCCTATTTAGTCCCTATTAAGTACTAAGTTGAATTGATATGGCTTTATCCGTATGGAATATGCATCATATGTGTCAAAATTGCCTTGCTGAGCACTATATAGTTTCCATAAGTTCTCTACCTACTGGTCTATTAATCTTTGTATGTATCTATCTATCTATCTGTCTGTCTGTCTATCTATCTATCTATCCATTTATTCCAATTACAAACTGATTTTTGAAAAGGTACTGTACTTCTCAAATATTTTTCCCATATTGGTATAACAGGTAATTTTATAAAGAGTATTCTCTTCACACATTTCACCACAGGTGGAAATGGACATCCTGGCTACTGAGAGAAGAGTGTCACTTCACGGGATTCCTGCTCTGTGATATGACCAGCTTGTTAGGATTTTGTATTGAACTACTGCTGCTTTTTTGTTCTCTTTTTCTTTTTTTCCCCCTTAACCCCCATAGCATTAGCAGGACTACTCTTTTCATTAAAACTGGATCTTATTGTTTGGCTTTGTCTTGCAGCAAGACAAGTTCCTACAAGAGACATTACAAATATTAACAATAAAAGGCTACATCTGAGGCATGCAAAATGTGGCCAGCTGCAACATTTTTGTTCAAATTGGCATCGGATTTTTCAAGTTTGGAATGAAATCTTTAAACTGAGGCCTTATAGCAGGAGTGGATTCACTCAGCATTTTTAGTGAATATGTGATTCCCAGCAGCCCCAGGCTCATTATCAATTACCCAATTTTAAAGATGTTGCCATGAGATTTTTCTGAGTTTTTGAACTGTTGTCCTTTTATTACATTTTACTTGTTATAAAGGATATAAAAGACAAGTATTCCTTTTGTGGATAAGGTTTTTGGTTATTGACTGTGTACTCATTTCTCTATCCACACACTGCTATTTGCCTTCAATTCTGAAGTGAAAGTAAAAGGCTTTTTACACAGCTGAAAAAAGTCCCTGGATTGTGGGAATGCTCAGGAAAAGCCAAGATAGCAAACACCTGTTTTTCACTAAACTTGAGGATGTTGGGTAGGTCAAGAGGGGAGCTGTGGGTTAGCTCATTCCACTGTAAAGCAATGAAAGCCATAAAATATTATGAGCAAAAAGCCACCTGTTCTTGAATTAGTGCTTGCCATCTACCTTTGTGGTTTAAATTGAAAGTTCAGTATCTAGGCAGCCTGTTTTCCTTTTGCTCTGACTTAGCCACAGTGTATCAATTTATACAGTGCCTTCCCAATCAGCTCCATCTCAAAGCCCTTGGCAAAATGTAAATGCAGGTGCACAAATGCATCCCTTCCTCCCCCAGGCACACCACACTAACAGGAAAGCAACTCTTCTGTAAACAAAGCAAAAAAATAGGTGAGTGTCAGAAACTACATCCAATACCAAAGTACTGAAGATGAATTTCAGAAAGATAAATCTGTCATGATGAATGGCTGCAAGACCACTCCTTGATTTACTCCAGGTGCTGTATTTCACAAAAGTAAATGCTTTCCAAGTAGCAGCTCTCCTCTGGCAGCTTCACAGTCCTCTTTTGTTGGACAGGAAACTTGATGGACTTGCTTTGTTGAGATTTAAAATGTAAGTGTGGAAAAAAAGAGCTGATCTTACAGAGGAGCCGTGTACCTGACAGAGGTACTCTGAAGTCTGAAGGGGCCTTGCTATCCTCTTACTCCACGGACCAAAAGACAGCTGGCTGAAGGCAAGAAAATCAACTTGAGAGAGTTTTATCACGAGGTGCCTCGGGAGGCTGTAGCCTAAACTCTGTGCTACTCTAAAGGTGATGTCTGTGCAGCTGTCTCTTAGGGACTAAATGCCACACAGGTATATTTATTTCAGGGTTTCAGTATGAAACCTTTGACTCTTGTTCTTCTAAAATTGCTTGTTGTTACTGCTCTCAGTGATCCCTCGGTGCCTGTTTTTGCTTGTGGCATAAGCTGTTTAGCCTCTTGTATTTGCTTAGGGTGCATGCACTTCAATAAGCTCTGGAAGGTGAGCCTGGAGTGGCCATGCTATGTTGTCAGGAGAAATTGTTTTTTTCAGTAAGTCCATGGCTTTGAGGATATTCAGAACAGCAGTTATTTGCTGTTATTAATTTACCTATGATGCCTAAATGCCCACTTTGTCAGTGAAGAGAGAGCACATCCTTGAGGTAGTGAGTGACTCAGGTATCACATTACAGGGCTGAGGTATCATTTCTGGAGATTCCTCTCCTCTCCTCTCCTCTCCTCTCATGTACAGCCCAGCTCACTTCTTTACAGGCTCTTTACTGTAAAGACAGTTTCTTTAACAATAAAAAACAGGTTCTTTACTGTTAACATATGTTTGCCAAGCAGTACAAAATTCCCAGGAGAAATCCAGTGTGTTTTTGTTTCAATGGGTTGATATTTTCACATTTCTCTGTGGTTTTGTTTGTTTAAAAAAATATTGTCCAAAGGTAAATATTCCCTCAGATAATGATATAAATTTTAGTCTAGCTCTGATTATTCTTATTTTGGTAACTCTATCATATTTAAACTCCAGGATCAAGGACAACAAGTTTAGTTTTTCAAGCAAACATATAGCTAAGAATGATAGGAAAATGGTAAGAAGTCATTTCAGTCTCTGTAAAAACTACACACAGATTAACTGATGGATTTTAGGGTCAGTATTTCAAAGTTAGCTTGTATGACTTTTATTAGAAATACTTTAGAAAACGATTTTAAAAATCACCAAAAGATGAATGAAGTGCCCACTTGATTCATACAGGCTGCTATTTACCAAAAGAAAAACCTCGTGGTCTGTTCTGCATACTCCAAATCCACTTCCTAAATCTCTGAGCCTGTGCTACCAACTATTTCTAAAGCTCTGTGGTAGTACCATTAATAATCCTTTTGATATTCTTTTCTCTTGTAAACATAAATCCTTGTGAACTCATTTGGTATGAGAATGTACCTTATAAGCCTTTCTATGGTATTCCATCACTTTATAGAAACATTCAGGTGTGGATCTGGCTAAAATTCAAAGAACATTGTTGTGGATGAAAACCTGAAGGAATTCCATCTCATGTTGTGAGTATGGGTGCCATTGTGTACTGTGATGTGAATTTTGTCTGGATTGTGGCAAGTGAGACAATGAGGGAGATGCACCACTGATTCCTGCCTCCCTGAGCTTGGAGGAGGCTCCCTGCAGCATCCCAGGAGCCCATTGGGACTCCAGGCACTGGGCACAGGGTGTGCACTCTCCTGCACACAAAGGCAGGGCCAGTCTAGCTGGTCCTGTTCTTTTGCTTCTCTCTTTTGATTGCTTAGGTTAGTGATGGTAAAGGTGTCTCCTTCTTGGATGGGGCTGCTGGCTACAGAACTAGGCTGCTGCTACTGGCTCTTTGCTTCTTGCAAAGCTCTGTCTCTCAGAGCTGAGATGGTGTCTGCAAATCATGGCTCTGATATTGTCAGGACGTGGACTTTGGCTGTGAACAGGCCTGAAGTCGAAAGAGGAGCAGGAAGGTTCTCCTCAGATGGATTTTCAGCCAGTGTAAGCTGTTGTTGCTCTATGAGAAACCAAGAATAATTTTCACAAGTGAAGGTTTGCTTGCTTGGACTTTTAAACAGACCTCTTCATTCATCTCAGTTGGAATTCTGCTTATATTTCGCAGCATGTGGCAGTACCTGCGCAAAGAAGAAGCTACTCATGCTCTGCTCTGCTGGTCCTGCACTCTGAATTTTCCTGCTCACAGCAGAATTTCTCCAGCTGTGGGGAAAGGTGAAGTGATGGGCAAATATTTGTGCAGTACCACAGTATATGCATTGTCTTCTGCAGGAGGAAAAAAGGCAGGCCTGAAAAACTTAATGGAGACAACTGGACCAGGATTTCCTGTTTTGACTTTGAATTAGGTTTAGTACATGGCTCTGAAAACTGTGGTTGCTGGTCCTTGTGGAAAAACGAAGCACTGACATAGATTAGAAAAAGGAGATGATATTGTCACTTCAGTCCAGTATGAACTACAAAGATGGATTGAAGAAAAAAGTAGAACGACTTGTCTAACACAGCAAACTAGAGCTCCTTCACTACACCAAACAGACACGTCTCCCCATTCCCATCTCAAAATTAAAGCCTATATTGAAACTGCTGACAGACAACGTAAACTCTTCTCTTGATTCATACCATGTCTTTATAGTGACATTTTAAGTAAAGTTTTTCTTGTGCATGTTGGATTTGTTTTTGGAGGATTAGTTATTTACATTTAGACCAGGAAGGCAGAAGGCAGGATGGTTTACAAGATTCACATGGTTAACCATTTTTTCATACAGTGGGATATTATTTTGGCAGTAATTGCAAATGATCTTTGCACTTTAAAGGTATAAAATGTCACATTCTCAACATCTATTCAAAGGAAGGAAATATGCCAGCTTCTAATGAATCCAAATACTGGTCTGCATGATGTGATCGAGGTAAATTACATCCTTTTAGGACTCAAACAATTAAAATAGTTTGTTGTTTTGTTTTTTTTCTGTTAGCCTTTTTACTGTGGTTAAATGTCTTTCCTAAACAGCTTCTTCTAATATCTTTAATTTGCAGTATTTTCACTGGTGCCAATTGCTCCCCTGAAGTTTTGCAAAGGATTTAAACCATAGTGGTTTGTTCATTCCACTAGATGCCTACAGATTTCTTTTTGTCTGTAAGTGTGCTGTATAATTTTTATGTGAAATTGATTCTGTACAACTGTAACTAACAGGATTTTCCTGGAAGCAGTCAGAACATCTTGTACCAATGTTTACAATAAATATATAAGAAGAAATTGATAGCTATCTAACAGTTTCCAGGAAGATGGGAATTAATACAAAGCCAGCCTCTGAGTGTTTTTCAAAGAGAAAAATTTGGGTTTATTTTATTTCTATTGAAACTTGTCATGTTACTTGAATTCCCCTGACATTTTTTCATACTTCAGAGCCTTTTTAACATTGTCCAACCATCGACCGTTCTGGCCTTATGTGGTGCCTGGGAAATGTTAATTGAGCAATCCTGAGTTTAACCCTTCCTTCACATACTTTGTAAAAATACAGCTGTTAATAACGTTTATTTGGCTTCAATTTAGATATGAAAAAAATCCATTTCAGGAGGTTACTGAAAAAAGATTTAGACTTAATATGTGTTCCCCACATATTAAGAGCAATGGCATGTGCTGTAAAGAATAAAAACCACAACACACAGACATCAGTCCTCATGGGCTAATGGAAATCTAGACCTGATTAAAAACCCATTTCAGGACCTTTTTATTGCAGGGGTGGGTTTGATAGCTGTCAGTGTACAGGAAAATAGCACATCTGGAATCTTACTGTGTACTTGTGCAGGCTGGTATAACTCAACCTGTGTGTCAGGTTTTTTTTTTAATAGCCAAGATTTATTTGGTTGCTATTAATTTTTTAAAAGTCTTTGGTAAGTATGCTTATTAAGTACTAAATTTTTACCCTCCACAAATTAAAAGCTATATTTTAGTAGTGAGCAGTTTCCTTTAGAGAAAAGGAGGAAAGCCAGAAATATGCATTAGTAATGTAGGGAGTTATTTGATTACAAACGTACCCCAGTGGCTTCTTAGGGATGACTGTTTTGCAGCTTGTTTAATGAAAATTGCATTTTTCTTGTGA